GCTGCTGCTGCTGCTGCTGCTGCTGCTGCTGCTGCTGCTGCTGCTGCTGCTGCTGCTTCTGCTGCTGCTGAGTTCTGCGTCTACAGACAAACGAGCCCCCTAGGGGCCCTTGCAGCTCTTCTATGGGTGCTTCTGGCCTTGCTGCTGAGTTGTCTCCTGCTGCTGCTGCTGCTGCTGCTGCTGCTGCTGCTGCTCTTGCTGCTGTTGCTGCTGCTACGGTGACGCGCAGCAGCAGCAGCAGGTGCTGCAGCAAGGTGCCGCCCAGCAGCAGACCAGGGACTCCCCCCCCCAGCACTGCTGCAGCAGCAAAATTTAGAGACAGAGAGTTGTAGGCTGCTGCAGCAAGAGGAACGGGCTGCTGCTGCTGCTGCTGCTGTTCCTGCTGCTGCTGCTGCTGCTGCTGCTGCTGTTTCTGTTGATGCTGTTGCTGCTTTTGGTTCTGCTGCTGGTGGTGCTGCTGCTGCACATGCTGAGACTGCTGAGACTGGAGCAGCAGCAGCTGCGCTTGTTGCTGCTGCAGCAGGGAGTGTCGCGTGCGGTGTATCTGCAGCAGCAGCAGGCTGGCAGCAGCAAGACGCAGCAGACAGCAGCAGAGTTTTGAGGCAGCAGCAGCAACTACAAACGTAGCATTCCTTCTCTGTGTCTCTCTTTATCTGCTGCTACTGCTGCTGCTGCTGTTGCTGCTGCTGCTGCTGCTGCACTTATATCTCTGTCTCCTCTCTGTGTCTGCTGCTATCTCTGTCTGTGTCTGCTGCTGTCTCTGGGCCTGCTGCTGTCTCTGTCTCTGTCTCTGTCTGCTGCTGTCTCTGTCTCTGTCTGATGCTGTCTCTGTCTGTGTCTGCTGCAGTCTCTGTCTGCTGCTGCTGTCTGCTGCTGTCTCTGTCTATGTCTGCTGCTGCTGTCTGCTGCTGTCTGTGTCTGCTGCTGCTGTCTGCTGCTGTGTCTGTCTGTGTCTGCTGCTGTCTCTGTCTCTTATTTTTTTTGTTTCTTCTGTGTGTCTCCTCACTCTCTTAGCAGCAAAGCCCATGAACAGCCGTCTCCTGTGGGGTCATGCCCCTGTTGCTGCTGCTGCTGCTGCTGCTGCTGCTGCGGCTTGTGTTGCTGCTGCTGCTGCTGCTGCTGCTGTGGGTGGGTAGAGCACTCCAGCTGCAGCAGCTGCAGCCTCGCAGCTGCCGCCAAGAGGCTCAGGACGTGAGCAGGTGACAGCTGCAGCAGCGCCGGATCCCATGCTGCTGCTGCTGCTGCTGTTGCTGTTTTTGCTGCTGCTGTTGCTGCTGTTGCTGCTGCTGCTTGTGGTGGTGGTGGTAGTGATGCAGCTCCCACTGCTGTTGCTGCAGCGGGACTCCACTGAAATTGCGGTGCAGCAGCAGCAGCAGCTGCTGCTGCTGTTGTTTTTGTTGTCGTTGCTGCTGCTGCTGCTGCTGCTGCTGCTGCAGCAGCGCGGATATGTCTGGGCAGCAGCAGCAGCAGCAGCAGCACAGTGTTGGATTTGCTGCTGAGTCTGCTGAGGCTGTTCAGCAGGTCGATGAAAAAGCTCAAAGGCGGCAGACCCTCAACGAGTTTAACACATTCTTCTTGCTGCTGCTGCTGCTGCTGCTGCTGTTGCTGCTGCTGCTGCTGCTGCTCTTGATGCTGCTGCTGCTGCTGCTGCTGCTGCTGCTTGCGCTGGTGATGCTGCTCTTGCTGCTGCTGCTGATGATGTGTGTAATGGGGATACTGCCGGAGCTGCTGCTGCTGAGGATGCGTGTGGTGGTGCTGTTGCTGCTGCAGCTGCTGCCGCTGCAGCAGCAGCAGCTGCTGCTGCTGCTGCTGCAGGCGGAAATAAAGATGGGTAACAGCTAAGTCGCATATGCGCTGCAGGTAGTACTGGGCTGGCCTTCTACGCCTTCTCTCGCTGCTGCTGCTGCTGCTGCTGTTGCTGCTGCTGCTGCTGCTGCTGCTGTTGCTGCTGCTGCTGCTGCTGCTGTTGCTGCTGTTGCTGCTGCTGAGAACACCAGTCCTTGTTGCAGTAGCGAGCCTTCTTCTGTATGCCGATGGCATGTTGTTGCTGCTGCTCCTGCTGTTGCTGCTGCTGCTGCTGCTGCTGCTGCTGCTGCACTTTTGCTGCAGTGCAGCAGCAGCCACAAGACGCTGCAAAGCCCCAAGCGAGATCCCGGGCTGCTGCTGCCGCAGCAGCACCGTATCCATCTGTTGCTGCTTCTGCTGCTGCTGCTGCTGCTGCTTCTGCTGCTGCTGCTGCTGCTGCTGCTGCTGCAAGCCCTCGACGTGCCGCAGCACCCAGAGGGCCCTGCGGGCCAGAGAGGAGGAGACAGCTGCAGCAGCAGCAGCACAAAAGACAAACCAGGAGACAGAGTCTAAGGCAATCAGGTGTCTCCTCAGCTCTTCTTGCTGCTGCTGCTGCTGCTGCTGCTGCTGCTGTTGTTGCTGTTGTTGTTGCTGCTGCTGCTGCTGCAAGGCGCATTTTAGCGGCTGCAGCAGCTGCTGCTGCCGCAGCAGCAGCAACTCCGACAGCCGCAGCAGCTGCAGCAGCAGCA